AAAATGGCCAGGCAGGAGGGAAATGTGGTAAAAATTCACCCTAGAGGAAGCAGCAGGATGTGTCCCTCCCAAGTCTCCTGGGAGGGCAATGAAGCCACCTTAACTCCTGTAAAACTGCAGATCTCACGATTCTATAGGCTGGAGCTGCAGCACTTAAAGTGGTGTCAAACTGCATTGCACCTACAAAGGGCTCGAAAGAAAGATAGAATAGGAAAAGTAGTGGGTTTAGCATTGGACTATGACTCTGGAGACCATGGTTTGAATCCCAGCTCAGCCATGAAAACCCACTGGGTGACCTTGGGAAAGTCACATGCTCTCAGCCTCAGGGAAAACTTGCCAGGAAAACCCCATGATAGTGTCACCATAAGTCAGAAATGATTTGAAGTCACATAACAACAAACTAAGTAGATGGGAAGAGGGGGTATTTTGTACTAAAATGTTTATGACTTGCAGTTCATGGCATTTAGATTTCTTTAAAAACAGCAAAAAATGTTAGTTATTTTAGTTACTAAATTATTTGTAACTTTTTGGGAACTTTAGTACTTATAGTTACTAATTTACTAGTAACTAGTAATTTACTAGTGAGCTATGTACTCATAATTAGATAACTAATTTTGATTACTTTTCAAAGAGAGTAGCTACAACGGTAGCTAACCACTTTGGGGACCTGATAATGAGAGCTGTAACTCGTTACTTTTTCAATGCAACTTTCCAACTTCACATGACAAAATGAAGCAGATGTCTGGATGGGCCAATCTTTTATTAGGAAGTCAGAATCTTAATTGCTTTTTTTCAAATAGCTCAATACAGTCCTGCTGTTGTCATAGCATCTGAAGAAGAACGTGTCTCACCTCTGAACTATAACTGAGATTGCTTCTAATGTGTATCTTCACTTCTGGCTAAAATTTTCAAGCCAAGCCCATGATCCTGCATATTTGTTAGAATACATGTTTACCAGAACAACATGTTTCCTAGAAATATATTAGTCAAAAATAATCCCTTATTTCTTCCACCTTTGTAGGCTTCTGGAAATCTGTGCACAGAGGGTCCCATTGTTGAACTAAAGGAATGAGACATGAAGCCGGATTTACGCAGAGCAGTGGAGGACAGGGGGTCTTGGAGATGTCTCATCCATAGGGTCGCCATGGGTCAAGATCGACTCGAGGGCAGTTAACAACAATTCCCAAAGCAACCTAAATAGCCTATTAAGAAATTATTAATATTTAATTTACTGTCTGGAGACAATAGCAAGTTGAGAGAAAGAAAGAAACACTGCCACATCAGTCAAGTGTGTATTTAGTTTTCTTATTAGTCTTCAAGAACATATTTAACCCTTTGCTCAATAATCACTTCTACAAATGTCCTATAAATCTAAAGTCATCTTGACAGAAAATTGTTTCAGATGGATTTAATCACTGCAGAGTATGCATACAGAGAGGTGTGATTCTGATTATTATTTTTTTTAAAAAAAATTCAGTAATCTATAATTTTCTTGCATTGGTGTGGATGTTTTCATGTTGAAACAAGGCCCAACAGAGTATAATAATTTTTTTTTGTCATTATAGTCCCCTTTTGTTGTAGTCACCAATATGACAAATGCAGTAAGGAAGGAAAAACAATTTATTTCACCGCCTGTTTGCTCTAATTTGGGTTTGACTGTTGTTAACTTTCTCCCTTTCATGATCCACTATGAACTCACTAGCAAGTTCATTTTAAAATAAAAGTTCTTGCCATTACTGCAAGAGCTTCTTTGCCCATTAAAGAGCTGCTTTGCCCATCCAATGACATTTGTCGATTTACCAGTGGTTTTTTGTTGTTGTTGTTGTTGCTGTTTTTAGATTGTGTAGTTATTTAGATTCTTCCTGGATTTCTGAGTGAGAGATGAAGATAAGCATTTCATTTTGTTCATACACAAATCATATTGAGAGGTTTCATAATCCAGTTGGCAGAATATTCATGTAGATTAGTAGTGTAATTTTAAATATATATTGAGACTGTGGTTTAGCATATTCTGCGAAATGAATCCTGTGTATTTTCCTTGATCTGGATTATGGGGAGATTTCACTGGTGGATCAGTATTCTGAAATATGAATGCAAATTATTGCTTCCTCCTGCTTTTACCATCCCAAAAACATAGTTATATGGTTCAGTGATAGTTTGTGAACTGGCTTCCTTCTATTTCTCTTCATGGTGTTCCTCCATTATTCTTCCCTGTCAGTATAGCTGTGGTGAAACTATTGCTTGTATGAACCTAAATTATAAAATTGAGATGGTAGCCCCATAAAATGTTGCTATTTCCATCTCAAGTTTTGAGCTCATCTGATTGCAAAAGGTAAGCAGTCTCATATCTGGTGGGAACTTGAATAGCAGATTGTGATAAAGCTAATCTTTAAATTAAAACTGGTCTATACAATAAACCATCTATCTCAGACACTCTGAAGATGATATCAAGAGTCACCAAGGTAACTCTGGGCTTGTGTGCTTGTTTCCTTGGAAATCTTATAATGAAAAGGAAAAACGATTTGGCAGTGACAGGGGCAAACCATTCACAATTGTTGTTTCATTAATGTGAGCATAAAGGTCCTAAGTGAAGTTCTGATCTTTTTGTATTACAGAGAAGATGTAATCCAGAGTTCTGTTTCTGAAGCAGACAAGTAGAGATAGATTTGAAGGACAAATCAAAGCCCCATTTTTTAATGTTTCATGAGAATTTCAGCTAACATATAAAGCAAATAGATAAGAAAGCTAAAAAGGGGGGGGGAAGGGAATGAATTTATATCACTAACCTTAGACTAGATATCAGTAGCATAAATAGAAATAGAATAATCATCCCAGTTCTCAGTCTAGTACCATACCACTGTGTTCATGTTTTACATTTTGAACAATATTCCTTAGGAATGTACCAACACAGACTAATTAGTATATATCACTTTTTAAACAAACTACATTCAAAACAAAGATAGGAGTGGGAATTAGGGGGGAAGAAGTATTAAGCTTCCTAATTCTTTCCCCTCAGAAATGTGTGCAACATCAGGTAGGTGTTAAATCCTACCCAGTATTTGTTCCAGGCATGCTTCTTCCCAAAGCACCACTGGCAAATCAAAAGCTGACAACATCCACAGCAACCACCTGTGGGAAAAATGCATAGAGCATACAGATCTCTGAAGTAGCTTTTCTTGTACTGGGGAAAGGAGAAAATAGTGAAAATTGCCTCGCTTCCAGTTCTACACACTGAATGTCGGGATCCACCCCTTTACATAGATTGACATATCAAAGAGACTCTGCATTACTTTTTTTGTGAGATCCTAGAACTCTAATTACTGAATACTCTTCCTGAGGAGGTTCACCCTGGGTCTACTTTGATGTCATTTCAGTGCCAGGTGAACAAATTATTATGTGTCCAAGCATTTAAACTGTAGGTTTCATCTGCAGTGATTAGTTTTTATATTGCTGTGCTGCCTGCTCTTTTTAAACTTCTTGGTTTTGTAGTTATTTTGTTATGTGTTTGTTACCAACTTGTTGTTGTTGTTGCATTCATAGTATTTTTATATTTACTATCAAGTTGTCCTGGGAAACTTTTTGGGAGAATCTGAGTAAAGCTTATCTTTTTAAAAACACACAAGCTCTTTTTATACTTCAACTGAAGGCTATCAATATATTGAAGTAAATGAATAAATAAATAAATAATATAAAATGCTTATAAGATTTGCAGGTGGTAGTGAGAGAGGTACCTTGTTTTGCTGAGGAAAGAGGACAATTGTTCCATCAGGTAACTTGTGATTGCATCTCTGAATAGGACACTGATATATCAATGGGCAAGATCAGTTCACTAAATAAGAAGTATTGAATAACTGATTTTTTTTAAAAAAAAAAATGAATAAATCAAGGATTTGTTTTAGTGAAGGTGGTGAGGCTATCATTCCCTTCCTAAACTTTGTATCATGTTATCCAAACACATTGCACTAAAGAGTACCGTATATCGTGCCTGTCTGCTATCCCATCACGATCACACCAGTTTAAGAATGGAAGCATACTGGTTTGGCATCATTTCTTATCACAGTTTTCCCCATGATAGTGCTTTGGCTCTCCATGGTTGCGTGATCTGTTTTCCACACTGGCAAATGCCACCTGTATTAAAGTGTAGGGCTTCGCAGCTTTGGGAAGCTGTTGGCAGCCAAAATTCACACTCCAGCCCCCTGGTTTGGGAGGAAGCAGGGGAAAGGACAAGTCATCCCAGCTGCCACTCACACCATGGGACTGCTACAGAAGGGACCTACCACGGTAAGGCAGACATGGAGTAGCAGAAACAGAAACTGAGAGCCCATTAACTGGTTTTGCCTGCCAGTGAAAAGATGCACATCAATAACAAATGGGATGCAAAGAAGCAGCAGGACAGACACAATGTCATGTTATAAGTAACATCCAAAGACACTTTTATCTTGTTCAAATTCCACCTTTTAGCCTTTAGACTAAGTCCTTAGCCTAGATATTTAAGGTACTTATTTATTTAGAGATTTGGTTTATATTTCATGTGTAATCAAGTCACCTCTTGCTGAGATAGTTACCAAAAACCTGTTGTTATTTCATTAGGCAGGATGATATGTATGCAGTATCCAGCATTTGGAATATTAGTCTGAACATTAATTCAATAATGTAGAATGTTAGAAGTTGGGAAAATAATTCAGTAGCACAAGCAATCATAA